CCCCCCCCTTCAAGCTGCTGCCATGTCCCCTCTAGCACCCCCCGACCACCGTGTCCCCTCCTCAGCCCCCCCCACCCTGCTCAGCAGCTCTTTGAGCTGGTTCAGCTCACCAGGGGGTTGGTTGTTGTTATTTTTCCACCAGGTTGGGGATTATCCAGGGGTTAATGTCCCCAGCATGTCCAGCCCCGTGTCACCTCCATCCCCTGCCCCACCCTAAGGAGAGGACTGGGAGAGTCTCTTGGGTCCAGCCCCATGTCACACCCATCCTGCCTCCCACCCTGAGGAGTGGGCAGGGGGGTCTCATGGCATGTCCATCCCACGTCTCACCCCATGGAGAGGATGGGGGTCTTTTGAGTCCAGCCCCATGTCACCTCCATCCCATGTCCCACCTTAAGGAGAGGACGGGGCAGGGGGGGGGAGTCTTTCATGTCCCCTACCTTGTCACCTCTATCCTACACCCCATCCTAAGGACAGGATGGGGGCACCTCTTGTGTCCAGCCCTGTGTCACCTCCTTCCCACATCCCACCCCAAGGAGAGGACGGGGGGGGTCTCTCATGTCCCACATCACCTCCTTCCCACATCCCACCCTAGGGAGAGGACACGGGGGGTCTCTCATGTCCCACATCACCTCCCTCCCACATCCCACCCTAAGGAGAGGACAGGGGGGGTCTCTCATGTCCCACATCACCTCCTTCCCACATCCCACCCTAAGGAGAGGATGAGGATGGGGGTCTCTCATGTCCCACATCACCTCCTTCCCACATCCCACCCTAAGGAGCATGGCGGGTGGGGGTTGTCTCTGCTTTCCCCTGCAGCCCCCAAATCCCCAGGGGAGAAGACACGCTACGACACCTCTCTGGGGCTGCTCACCAAGAAGTTCCTCCGTTTGCTGAGCGAGTCCCCTGACGGGGTGGTGGACCTGAACAGGGCAGCTGAGGTGCTGGAGGTCCAGAAGAGGCGCATCTACGACATCACCAACGTGCTGGAGGGCATCCGGCTCATCAGCAAGAAGTCCAAGAACAACATCCAGTGGATGTAGGTGGTGCCCAGGGGGGGTGGGCGTGGGGAGCTGGGGGGGGGCTTGGGGGACGTGCTGTCACTCAGGTGCCATCTCTGCTGGCAGGGGGACGGGGGTCTTGGAGGACACCGCGGTGAAGGCGCA